CTGTAAATCTTTACGGGAGCAGAAAACCTCATGTTTCTCCCACGGAACAGCTGGTAGTTTCGAACTGCTGACCTTGTGGTTCGCAGCCTGATTCGTAACCACTATGCTACCAGAACTCCTTCTATAGGCGTTCACTGCAAAATTCATTAAACTCTGCTCTATATCTGAAACTTATATTAAATATTGGAAAAATAAAACTTAGAAAACAAAGCAAAAGAGGTTAGTGTCAGATAAAGTAGATATAAAGATAGAATATTATCAGAGATAAAGAGGGGCATTTTACAATGATAAAACAGGTCAATTCATCAAGAAGACAACAATCTTAAATGTGTATGCTCCTAATAACTGAGCCTTAAAACACAGAAAGCAGAAATCTATAGAACTACAAGGTACACTAGACAAATCCACAATTATAATTGGAGATTTTAATATCCCTCCTTCAGTAATTAATACAAAAAGGAGGGCACAGAAGATCCAAATTACATTGGCTTGATGGATAGGTTCTAAATCAACATACGCAACAACACTCTGCAAGTGCATATGGAACATTCGACAAGGAAGACCATATGCTGGGCCCTAAAACAAACCTCAATTCATACAGAGTACACACCCTAATCATAATGAAATCAAATTAGAAATCAATAACTGGAAAATTGCCAAATATTTTGAACTTGAACAGTATGTTTCCAAATATTCTATTGGTCAAAAAAGAAATCAGAAAACAATTTGAACTGAATTATAACAATGATAGCAGCAAGATGGTGATCATTCTGCAAATTTAAGGAACACAGCATCGAAACCAATTTTGTTTAGCACTTAGGAACCTGTATACCCTTGATCCTTACTCATGCTTGGCATAAAGTATGACAACAGTCATATGTTACACCTACCTTTCCCACACTATTTACAAAGTCTTCTCGCATTTCCAGCCAGTCTAAATACCATCCACACTTCTCCAAAGTTACCATCTCTATCTTCAATATAAAGCCACCAAACTCACTGTCATTGATTGAATTCTGAGTCTCAACAACCCTACATAGGGTTTCTGAGACTGTAAATATTTTTGGGAGCAGACAGCCTCATCTTTCTCCCGCAGAGTGGCTGGTAGTTTCGAACCGCTGACCTTCACATGAAAAAAGATAAAAATAAACAGGTGTTGTAGGATAAGCTCTGGATTGCTAACTGCTAGGTCAGTAGTTCGAACCCACCAGCTGCTCCACGGGAGAAGGATGAGTCTTTCTGCTTTTATAAAGATTTACGACCTCATAAATCTGGCGTGGTACTATAGGATAAACACTGAATTGCGAAGTCAGGTTGAATCGTACGTAAGGTTGGCGGTTCAAACTCACCAGCCGCTCCTCAGAAAGGCTATACAGGGTTGCTATAAGTTGGAACCAACTCGGCGGCACTTAACAACAACATCAACAACAAACCTTATATAGGAGTCCTGGTGTGGTGCTGCAGGATAGTGTACTGGATTACAAGGTCCCTTTGAACCCAAGGTCAGCAGCTCAAACCCACAAGCTGCTCCGCGGAAACCCTAAACAGGGTCATTATGAGTCAGAATTAATTCAACAGCATTTAACAACAACAAACCTTATATGGGCTGCTCCACTGTAAGTTGGAATCGATTCAATGACAGAGTTTTCTTTTAAGTAATTCAATATAAATATGAATCACAATTCATATAAATATGATTGTTTCAAAATGTAATCATATAAACATTATTAATTAGATATCTTGCATTCATTTTTATATTATGTTTTAGAAATCTAGTGTGTATTTTACTCTTAGAGCATGTCTCAATTCAGACAGGTTCTATTTCCCCGGACTAGTTCACCACCTGTGGCTAGGTGGTTATCATTTTGTACAGAGATGAAAGCATAAGAACAAACTGGACTGTAGGAGGCAGTGTTCACATACATTGTCAGTGGGGCCTCAAAATCGGGGCCATAGTGCAGATATGCTTAGAGAATGCTCAGCAACTTGCCCAAAGTTCTAGAGCTGAAGTTAGGCTTCAAGTCCATGTTTCTTGTCTCTGATACCAGAGTTCTCTTGTTTCTGATTTCTGAGCTACAGAGATCATTTAAATGGAGAGCATAAAACAGAAGCATTTCCATGCCATTTGCCTCTATGGAGTCATAGGTAGGGGTCATCATAGAAGTAGCCTTTGCCACTGGCTCCACTGGCTTAGTTTTCTGGCTACCTGGTAGAGCCAAAGTGTTTCAAAGAACAGGAGGGAAGCATTGGAGTCATCCATGCCAGCAAGCAGCGGCAGGCCTAGTCTCATCTTTAACATCCAACCCACAACAATGTTGTCAGCTCGTCCTTCAAAACCCTTATTGTGATTTAAGAAACATATCCGTCAAACTCAATGTATGGGCATGGTTTGGATTCTGATTCAAACAAACCCAACTGTGAACATATGTATTTATGAGACAAGCAGATACATTTGAATATTGATTGATTGATTAGCTCATATCAAGTCATTGTTGATGATTAATTACAGGGATGACTTTTTAAAACACTTTGTTTTAAAAAGTTATCTTTTAAAAAGACTGAGGTGTTTATGATGCAATGGTGCCTGTGATTTGCTTCTGGTTGGCCATGACTTGGGAATTGTTGGAGTTGGCTGATGGGTATACACAGGGATCGTTTTGCCGTTCTCCTCACTCTTTTATACATTTGAACTGTTCCACAACAAAAAGTTTTAAAAAAACTTCCAATTTGAATCCATCCACTCCATTTCCATTGCTGTCACCCTGGTCTAAGCCATCACCACCACCTCTCCCCTGGATTGCTGTAATGGCCTCTCAGCTTGCTGCCCTACCTCTACCCCTACCCCTCCTCTCCCTCACTCTACCTCACCCTGCCACACACACAGCCAGAGTGACCTTGTTTTCTTAAAACAACAAACAAACAAAAAACCCAAACAAGTTAGAGCCTTCTTCCCATTACATTAAGAGTTAGAGCCATATTGGACCTTTTTCGTGACACATTTGAAGTCACCATAATCTGGCCCCTGCCTCTCTGTCTGGGTCTTGTCCTTGTTCACTCTGCTCTACCCATACCCACCTTCTTGTTGTTGCTGTAGAATGCTAAGCTTCTTCTAACCTCAGAGTCTTGGTACTTACAGTTCCCTCAGCCTGAAATACTCTTCCCAACCTTCATCCGGCTGGCTCCCTTCCAATACTCAGATCTCAGTTTACACATCCCCTCTCCTCAGACTCTTCTGTCCAAAGTTTCCCCATCCACATGCCATCATTTTAGCCTTTAAAATAAATCTTCTACATATCATCTGGGATCCCTGGGATAGTGCAAACAGTTAAGCTCTTGACTATTTGACTACTCGAAGAAAGGTTGATGGTTTGAATCCACCCAGAGGCTCTTTGGAAGACAGGCCTGGTGATCTGTTTCCAAAAGTTTACCGGAGAGAAAATCCTGTACTCCATACATGAGTAGCGATGAGTTGGAATAGACTCTACAGCAAGGACAATGTATCAGTTACCACTCTGTGAAACTGTTATTAATGCATTTGTTTTACTGTTTATTGCCTGTCACTCCCCTTCCACTTCCCACAAAACTGGAGTTCCTTGAGGACAAGAACTTTGACTTATTTACTGTTGTAGCTCTGGAATCCAGCAGAATGCCTACTCATGGCAGCCCAATGTATAGATTTGTTGTTGTTAGGTGCCATCAAATCAGTACCAATCCATAGCAACCTTATGCACAGCAGAATGAAACACTGCCCGATCCTAGGCCAACCTCACTACTGTTGCCACACTTGAGTCCATCGATGCTGTCACTTGGATAATCCATTTCGTTGGGGCTCTTCCTCTTTTTCTCTGACCCTCCAACGTACCAAACACGATATCCTTTTCCAGAGACTGGTCCCTCCTGGCAATGTAATCGAAGTATGAGAGACAAAGTTTGGCCACCTTGGCCTCCAAGGAGCACTCTGGCTGCACTTCTTCCAAAGCGGATCTATTGGTTCTTTTGGCAGTCCATGGCACTTTCAATATTCTCCTCCAACACCATAACTGAAAAGCATCAATTCTTCTCGGTCTTCCTTATTCACTGTCCAGCTTTCGCATGTTATTGAAAATACCATGGCTTGGGTCAGGAGCACCTTAGTCCTCAAGATGACATCTTTGCTCTTCAACACTTTAAAAAGTGTTGGAATGCATAGATGGGAGCCCTGAAAAGCTACTGGTTGAATGAAAGGATGTAAAATGCAAAGACAGATAGGAAAGTGAAGACAGGATTACATCTACTTCTCATTTATTGACATGGTTAGGTTCCAAAGACCAAATCATTGTACAAAAATTGGTATTATGCAAACATGTAGGATAGCCATATCAAATCACAACATCAATACATAACTGCCAAATTTCATCATTACTTAACCACCACCACCGAGATTCTTGACTCAGTCAAAATAACACATAACTTTAGTCATCATAGTTAGCAGGACTCTCACTTTGCACCCTGGAGTTTATCACCGCAAAATAGTATGGCAATAGATTTTAACTGTTGTCATACATGCGAAATGTCCGATAATAAGAAAGTCTATCATCAGCGAGGAATAGGTGAACTAAGATTAGATACATTTTCCATGCATTATCTAACTCAACTCTCATAATCACCCCACTCTTATCACTTGTTTTCTTTATAAGTGAGGAAACTGAAGCGGAGAAAAGTTAATAAATCTGTCCAAAGTCACACCACTAGAAACTGGTGAAATTAGAGTTCAAGCCTAGGTCTTGTGTTGACACTAGAACATGAGCGAATATCCTCTAAGCTATATAGTCTCATGGAACCAAGCTAATGACTTCAATGGTTCTGAGAAACATGAATATTTCCTTAAAAGATTTCTAATCATGAAGAGGGTAGAATTCTCTATAATAGACATAGGAAAAGGTTTTTTAAAACTTCATTTTAGCCTTTCATCGTTAAAAAATGTGACCAATTAGACCCTTGAATATATGTTAGGAGCTTACCGGGAGGCCTGGAGGACCACCTATGCCTGGGAAACCTTGAGGTCCTGGTTGACCCTGGAAAAGTCAACCAAAAATTAGTGTGCAGCAGCAGCAGCAGCAGCAAGCAATAAGACTGGTTCTCTCAAGCTGCTTGGGATGGAGAGTGGGGAACCAAAGCAGTATCAGGATTGCAGTGTTATCAATTTCCCAGGCTTCCCAACTCCTAACTGCACCAGAATGTCTTAGTCTAGGGAGCCCTTTGTGATGGCCCAGGGACTAAAATGGTCAACTGTTCACCAAAAGGGCTGGAAGTTCAAACCCACCAGTCATTCTGTGGGAGAGAGCTGTGGCAGTCTGCTTGCATAAAGATTTACAGCCTTGAAAATCCTATGGGACACAAACAGAGGACCCTAGGACCACCAAGGGAGAAGAGCACAAGAGGAATGTGGGACCCTATCCAGAGAAGCAGCGACACCAGAGAGGGAGGCAGAGATGGGGACATGGAGAGAGGGAGCGGCTGAGGATTCTAGATTCATGGGAAGAAAGGGACTGAGAGCTGGTGGCCAGGAGGCAGGCTTACAGAATGTGCCCTTTGGTGGTTTAAATTATTTTATATGCCTCAGTGGTTTTTTTGTTTTTGTTTTTTAAAAAGAGCTAAAATGAATAAATGAAGAGAGAGAAATACTGGTAACTGATAGTACATGGAGGGGATTATAATCATTGTAATGAAACAAAGTATATGATTTGTTGAATGTAAAACTGATGATCTGCCCTGTAAACTTTCACTCAAATCACACAAAAAAAATTAAAAAAAAAAAAATCCTATAGGAGAGTTCTATTCTATCCTATAGGGTGTCCATGAGTTGAAATTGACTTGACGGCAGTGGCATTTTGTTTGTTGTTTTGTGATGTGGGAAGGATCAAGGTCCAGGCAGGGAAAGAAAACTTCCTATAACAGAATCTGAAATGCCTAGGATAAGTGGGAAACAGGAAAAACAACAACAACAAAAGATCTTTCATTTTATTTCTAGTGGAAGAAGCTGTTGAGTGAGAATCCATGCAGCAAATTACAGGTTACAAGAAGCCAATGGTTTGGGGCAAAAGGTAATAATTACAATTTGGACAGGGAGACACACCATTCAAATTTGTCTTTCCCTGATACATGAATTTATCTATATATGCCATGGAATTGCTTCCTAAGGTTTGGCAATGATCAAGGAGGCCAACAATGGCTGATCCTAAACCGACGATTACTTCCTGTACACATGGATGGGGCCTGGAGCTGCTCCTTCCAAAAGACAAAAGTAAAGAAATGGAATTAAACACATTCCCCTGCATGGGTCTCTTCCATATGGAAACAGAAATACACAAAGGAAGGTAATGTAGATTAAAGAAAAACTCATTGTTCAGAAGAACAATAACTAAAAGTGATCCGAATCTTAACAGCACGCAGCCATTCAAACACAACTTTTCTTACAACCATGTATATAATATGTATTGCTTTATGTAAAAATACAGATTATAAAAATATCTCAGTTAAATAGGTCTATGGCTTAGCCTTGGTAATTCAGATCAGATGATTTAGGGCATCTACTGCCATGTGGTGAAAGTAATTTCTATTTGTTGGGTTCAGTTTTGAGAACAAACAATGTATTTAAGAAAATAACTCAAGTGCTTAGTTTCAGAATGAGGGGGGCAAGGCAGAAACCCCAACTGAATAGTTTTCCTCTTTTCCAGGTGGAGTTGGTGAAAGGGGACGGGGGTGGGGGGGAGATGCTGATAGGATTTTATGATTCCATTGTGAGTAATTATTGTTGTTGTTGTTGTTAAGTGCCATCGAGTCGGTTCCGACCCATAGCGACCCTGTACAGGGTTTCCAAGGGTGTAAATCTTTACGGGAGTAGAAAGCCTCATCTTTCTCCCGCGGAGCGCCTGGTAGTTTCGAACCGCTGACCTTAAGGTTCGCAGCCCGATTCGTAACCACTACGCTACAGATTAATCGCAATTGTCACAACTGTAATTGAAGAAGATGTGTAACTAAAGAGAAGAAGTAGTTAATGTTTCATTGCAGGAATGGTGGATCCCAGGCTCCTCGAGAAGTGAAGTGTTGGATCCCTCCCTAGAAAAGTGGTGCCAGCAGAGATGGTGGCAGAGGCAATGGCATGGAGAGATAGAGCAGCTGTAGACTCTAGGCCCATAGACTGAGAAAGGCTGTGTACCTGCAGGCAGGAGACTGGCTTGCAAAATGGACACTAAATGAATGAATTTTTTGTTTTGTTTTATATGGATACACCAATTATTTTTGATGTGTTGATTTGTGAGAAATAAGATGTACAAGGGAAACTGCATGGAGGAAGCAGGATAACCGTTGTTGCAGGGAGGGGAGTGTAATCATTGAGATGAAACAAAACATATGATTAGTTGAAAGCAAAACTGATGATCCTGTCTGTTAACCTTCACTCACTTCACAATGCAAAGTTAGAAAAAAAGAACTCAAAAGTAACCATTCACATAGAGGGCTATGTGGTGTTATAGTTCTTTGCAGGCACCATATATAATAAAAGGATTGGGAATTAGGAGGAAAACCAAAATTTTTTTCAGTTATTTGGCATCTTAAAACTTGAATCTGCAAGATGGAAACACAAAAAGTAACACTTAAATGAAGACTCAGAAACCCAGGTATGTATGCACACCCACACCCACAATCCCAAAAACACACTGAAGACTTTTTAGAAAGTCTTGCAGGAGGAACAAAAGAAGGATGTGTCTTGTAACCTCATTTCCAAATAAAAATCCTTTATAATTTAGAACCCTTTATTTTCCAATGTAGTCTGGTTACTTGAGTTGAGTTTTCATTGGAGAAGGCTTACTAACTTCCTATTCTTCAGTGTTCACCTACCTTAGATCCTTTTTTCCCTTTTGGAAAGCCCATAAACTCCAGTTCTCCCATAGATGGTGGTGGTCCTGCAGGTCCAGGGAGGCCCACATCACCCTATAAAATCAGAGAGAACACTGAGCAAAGCTTAAGTCTCATAGACTATTTCTACAGAGGGGGTACTTATCCTTTGGATGCAACTGACAAGTAAACTATCCATCACTTTGGCCTTTTCATACTCACCTTTGCAGCTATCATTGCCAAGGGGGTGAAGATAATTTAAAGCCTGATTAAATGCTCTTTGCATCACTAGTGCATAAGGAAGAAGTGAGATGGATGGAAGGAAACCACAAGTTCATGGTTGCCATAGTTATGCATGCAAAGGTGCTCAGAAGAGAGCAAAACAGGTGATTTGAGAAAGGTGAATGGCTAGCTCTTGGCAAGAGATCAAATTCGAATGAGTTCGAGCCTGCTAAGATGACAAGCAGAGACAATGAAATCCACGTTGGAACACTGAGGGCTTCGATGTGCTCCTTCAGAGGGCAATGCAATCCACAAAGGGTGAGAAGGACAAGTTCCCAGCCTCCCTTGAGGCTGCCCCAAATCACCATATAATTAGTACAGAGAGGAATACAAAGGAATGATGAAAGAGAGGTTAAGGATGAATGAGAGAGGGTGAGGAAAGACTGATGATGATAAGAAGAAGTGGTGGATGAAAAGGGGAAAGCAAAGAAAAGGAAGGAGAAGGCAACGCAACGTATGAAACACCAGGGACATACTGGGTGTTAGGCAGAGAACAAAGTTATTTTGAGAGAACATGTTTGTAAGTTACACACACTTCACAGGTGGGAAGCAGGGAAACTGTACAGTTTTGAAGGCAAGAGAACAGTAGCCTGTGTGTGGCATGTGCATGGCAGCCCTCAAGGGAACCCACAAGAGGACCAATGTGGGCTGGGAATCGCCATTTCCAAAAGCAAAGATTTAAATCGATTCCCTTACACAAGCAGACACATGCATGTAATCAGAAACATTTTGTTGAGGGGAGCATACGGAATGCAGACTGTATTTTCCAGAATCGATTTACCTTGACTCCTTTCTCTCCTTGGAAACCTAGCCCCATATTCCCCTGGGGCACAGGGATGCAGGGAGGAAAAACAAAATCAGTTACTAAACAAACTCCAGGAACTGAAATCATTGGAAAGAAGTCTTTTCACCATAAAGTAGGCTTAACCAAACCAATATCTCTTTGGGGGACACCAGAACACTTAGGGATAAGTAGCAAAATGCCGCCAAATAAAGCATACTTACATCAGGACCAGGTAAACCGGGAGGACCTGGAGGACCCTAGAAATAAAAAGACAGAAACCAGTACTGGTTAGTTTCAGCCCAAAGGAACATGCTCATTTGGGAGGCGATGAGGAGAAGCCTCCCCTCCTAAAGGGTAGCATGGCTTTGGTGTAGCAGATTTCAGTTCCTCTCCTCTGAAGTCTCCCAAATTGACATGAAAACTACATTCAGGCTAAGGTAGTAGAGTTTTCATGGGTCATTCCTCCCGCCAGGCCAGAAATTTTAATATGATCATCTTTGGGGAAGCTAAGCTTAAGTAACAAGAGGTGAGATTTCATGCACTACAGAGAAAATGTGGGGACAGGCTTTCCCAGAACCAGGGAGATGACTGGCTATGCTCTGTACCAGATATGGCAAATAGATATGGTGTTAGAAAGATAGGTACTTCCGTAGGAGCTGCCTGAACATAGTGTTGAGAAAGATGTTGAAACTTTTTCTGGGTTCAGGGCATTTGTTGTGTTGGTGGTAAGGGAGTTGTTGTTGTTGTTAAATGTCTTCAAGTTGGTTCTGACTCAGCGACTCTGTATACCAGGAGTGGGGACCTTCATTTTGCCAAGGGTCATTTGGATATTTAAAATATCTATACAAAATTGTTGTTGTTGTCAAGTGCCATCAAGTCGGTTCCAACCTATAGCGACCCTGTACAGGGTTTCCGAGGGTGTAAATCTTTATGGGAGTAGAAAGCCTCATCTTTCTCCCACGGAGCGGCTGGTAGTTTCGAACCGCTGACCTTAAGGTTCACAGCCCAATTCGTAACCACTATGCTACCAGATTATCAAGTTAAAAATTAGTCTGCTATGTTTGGCCAAACATTTAATTAACTCATACCTAATGTGATAGGCTAGGTGTCAGAAAGATAGGTATGTAGGTAGGAGTTGCCCAAACAAGGTGTTGAGGAGTCCTGGTGTGGCGCTGTGGGATAAAGCACTGGACTGCAAGGTTGGTTTGAACCACAAGGTTGGCGGCTCAATCTCACCAGCCACCCCTTGAAAACCCTGTACATGGTCGCTTATGAGTCGGAACCAACTCAACGGCACTTAACAACAACTTAACAAGGTGGTGGTTGGAACTGCGGTTGCCTTGGCAACCAAAGAATTTCACAGGCCTTAAGTGGCCTAAGGGATAGACATGTTGCATCCTGGCTGTATAGGGTTTCTAAAGAGCAGCTGGTGGGTTTAAACTGCTGAACTTGTGGTAAGCAAGCTACAGGACTTCAGGTGAAGGAGTAGAAGGTGGCAATTGTTCAGTTTAGGCTGAGGTAGACTGAGAGGCACAGATTGGATGGTCCCAATGATTCTGATAAAGACAACAAATGGCTCCTAGCAAATGTATGTTTCATTTTGATCCTCCAAGAATGGAGGCTTCCATTTTTCATTAGGAGGGTCTACATTTCTATAGGTTTAAATTTAATCCATGGTGGGGAAAACAGTCATGTGAATACCACGACCACATATTAAACTTCAGTTCTCCTTACTTGAAAACCAGGTGATCCTATGGGACCTATAGTTCCTGGAGATCCGGGTGCTCCTTTTGGACCCTAAAAAAAGCAAGTTTTCAGTAGTTATCCAAGAGAAACGAAAATAGTCATGTCCACAGGAAATGTACAAGAATGTTCAAAGCAATTTTATTCAGATAATAAAAGTGGTGTAATGATGGATACATTACATCCACATAGTAGAATAAACACTCAACAATAGAAAGAAACTATTGATACATGAAACAACGTGGATGAATCAGACCCTTTATATGAAGCTCCAGAACAGGAAATACTGCTCCTTGGTGAGGAAAAAAAAAAAAAAAAATCAGACCAGTGGCTGCTTTTGGAGTGAGGCGGTAGCTGGGGTTGACTACGAAGGCACAAGAGAAAACTTTCTGAGGTGATGGTAATGATCTGTATCTTAATAGGGGTTTGGATTACACAGGAGTATGCATTTGTCAAAGCTCAGCAAATGCTCAGTTAGGGATTGTGAATTTCACTGTATATACATTTTACATAAAAAGAAAAGCTACACAAACATTTAAGTTTAAATATTGATAAACATGCTGCAGTATTTGTGAAAATAAATACTAAACTTTTGTCTTCAATTTACTTTGAAACACACGAAAAATAAGATGGATTGATGGACAGATAGAGGAATGGATAGATGGATGGAAATAGGACAGACTAAGTGGTGGTGGTGGTGGTTCTGTGCCGTGGAGACGGTTCCGACACATAGCGACCCTGTATAGGGTTTTCGAGGCTGTAAATCTTTACGGGAGCAGAAAACCTCATGTTTCTCCCACGGAACAGCTGGTAGTTTCGAACTGCTGACCTTGTGGTTCGCAGCCTGATTCGTAACCACTATGCTACCAGAACTCCTTCTATAGGCGTTCACTGCAAAATTCATTAAACTCTGCTCTATATCTGAAACTTATATTAAATATTGGAAAAATAAAACTTAGAAAACAAAGCAAAAGAGGTTAGTGTCAGATAAAGTAGATATAAAGATAGAATATTATCAGAGATAAAGAGGGGCATTTTACAATGATAAAACAGGTCAATTCATCAAGAAGACAACAATCTTAAATGTGTATGCTCCTAATAACTGAGCCTTAAAACACAGAAAGCAGAAATCTATAGAACTACAAGGTACACTAGACAAATCCACAATTATAATTGGAGATTTTAATATCCCTCCTTCAGTAATTAATACAAAAAGGAGGGCACAGAAGATCCAAATTACATTGGCTTGATGGATAGGTTCTAAATCAACATACGCAACAACACTCTGCAAGTGCATATGGAACATTCGACAAGGAAGACCATATGCTGGGCCCTAAAACAAACCTCAATTCATACAGAGTACACACCCTAATCATAATGAAATCAAATTAGAAATCAATAACTGGAAAATTGCCAAATATTTTGAACTTGAACAGTATGTTTCCAAATATTCTATTGGTCAAAAAAGAAATCAGAAAACAATTTGAACTGAATTATAACAATGATAGCAGCAAGATGGTGATCATTCTGCAAATTTAAGGAACACAGCATCGAAACCAATTTTGTTTAGCACTTAGGAACCTGTATACCCTTGATCCTTACTCATGCTTGGCATAAAGTATGACAACAGTCATATGTTACACCTACCTTTCCCACACTATTTACAAAGTCTTCTCGCATTTCCAGCCAGTCTAAATACCATCCACACTTCTCCAAAGTTACCATCTCTATCTTCAATATAAAGCCACCAAACTCACTGTCATTGATTGAATTCTGAGTCTCAACAACCCTACATAGGGTTTCTGAGACTGTAAATATTTTTGGGAGCAGACAGCCTCATCTTTCTCCTGCAAAGTGGCTGGTGAGCTTGAACCACCAACCTTGCAGTTCAAACGACTTTGCAGTCTGACGCATTAGCCCACAGTGCCACACCAGGACTCCTAATTTATCTTTAGGTGGATAGCATTTCTTCCTCTAAGCTGTTGTGCAATTCTTTCACCATAGTTCTAATAGTTTCACACAGCCTTAGGGAGCAGGGACCATGTTTACATTGCTTCAGGGATCACTCGTAGCATTTTGCTAATAGTAAGAGCTCAATACCTGTTCAAAAATGGAGGAAGGGAGAGAAGGAGAGAGGGTAAGATGGAGGGAAAAGAAGGAAGGAAAAAGGATGGTAGGCAGGCAGGTTCCGATTTATAGTGACCCCATATGACAGAGCAGAATTGACCCAAAGGCTGTAATCTTTACATAAGCAGCCTGGCCCATCTTTCTCCCCCAGAGCAGTTGGTGGGCTTGAACTGCTGACCTTTCGGTTAGCAACTGAGCTCTTAACCATTGTGTCACCAGGGTTCCTGTACTACCATGGAGAGAATAAAAAGTCTCCATCAATGACTGTTGACTAAGCACTAAGAACGCCACAACATAAATAACTTACAACATAAATAACTTACAACATTTCCATCCAGCCCCTGCAGTCCAGGATTCCCCTAAGAAACAAAGAAAGGAAGGACATTGAAGAGATGCATAAGTCAAGCCTGTGGTATTCTGTACACAACTGACCTAATTCATGGGGATACAAATGCACTGCTGAAGCTTGGAATCCTCTGTCAAAGTCTTGTGTTTTAAATAATGCTTAAATTGGACATATTCAACCGTTGACTTTTTCCTGCTCCTAAGAAAAATCTCGACTCTAGAAGACACATATTACAGCCTTGGTTGAGCAGGATTTCATTTTTTGCTCAGATTAATTAATTTTCACCTTTGCTAGGAATTTATCAATTAGAAACTGCTTCTGCAGGCTGGTGATTTTCCTACTCTTTCTGGAGGAAAGCAAAGCAACCTTGCGGTGTTCCTTCATCCTCAGAGAATCTGTATCCATATGTATACAATGCAAATCAGACACTTCAAGCAAGAATCAACAGAGCATACAGTCTCTGATTACGTTTTAATTACTTTGCAGCATCTCAAGTCACTGTATGAATCTGTAATATAACCATCTTGTGGAAATTGCTATGTTCCATTGGATCCAGTGTCTTGTTGATTTTTGGCAAAACCATTTAATCAATGCTTGCTAAGACAACAGTCATACTTTGATACCTGCTACTTTACCCTACTTAGCTTATGCCCAAAAAGCAGCTCTCTGTAGCATGGAAAGAGTACAGTGAATTGATTGCATGACTCTGAGCAAGTTTAGGTTCATGACGATGTATGCCATTGTGGTTCTTAGGTACCAGAGAGTTGGTTCCAACTCATAGTGACCCTGGATAGAGTTTCCGAGATATGACTGGTGGGTTTAAATCTCCAATCTTGTAGTTAACAACCCAGTGCTTATCCTACAGTGCCACACCATGATTCCACGGAGGCCACAGCAGCAGCTAAAGTGTTATTAGAGTTGGAAAGGAACTCATGGTTGTCAGATTCACATTGCTCATTTTACAGATAGGCAAACTGAGATATACATGGTTACTATGAGTCAGAACCAACCTAAGAACAGCAATGGCATTTATAGCCATAAACCCAACCCTTGTACCTTCTCCAGTTCTTTAGCCACCCACCTCCATCATCACCTTCCAAAGTAATGTCTTTGTACATGGATGTAAGACAAAATGGTACCATCAAGTTAGCCTCCACAGATAGAGTCCCATCTGCCACCGGAACAATGATGGGCTCCCTTCCCACTCTGCAAGTGAGTAGGGTCAATCATCTGAAGTCAGAATTTACTAAGGCCCCACAAGATGCCAGGCAGCATATACTAAGAGTATATTCACAAAGAGCACAGAAGGTTCTTGTCAACTCTGGGGCATGGATGGGCAATTTTTGCAGATAGGGGCCTATCTAGGGTGATGGGCTGGCATGGAGGGATAAAGACAGGTGGGGCCTGGATCTTGGGCTGGTGACCATGCTGAGGTGGGTAGAGGCATATATGGCTTCAAACCAATATCATGGGCATCAAGGATTCTAAATAGACAAAAAGTATCTGCCTCTGGGAAATGTCTTAGCTTGACAAAGGTCAAAGACAATGGTATCCATGCAAAATGTTTGTTTGCTGATCTGTCTCCTATTCTTGATATAGATCCTACAAAGCAAATATCGTTGACAGTATAGTTACAAGCATTTCTGTCAAAGTTTCCACCAGAAAAAGCTCTAGATCTGTTTAAATCCAGCTTGGTCTGCTCCTTAAATAGAGACGCAGATGCTAATTCTGGAAATTTCATTGGAGGAGGGGTCCAGTCCCAGGAAACTCAGCATAGAGCCTACTTAGCTATCTGTCTTAGAGGCTCTTACCTTCACTCCTTTAAGAGTACCTTGAGCAAGAACAGGACCACCTTTAGCGCCTTTCTGACCAGGGATACCCTGAGTAAAATAATAAGAAAAATTTGTGAAGAAATATACACACATAGAGTATGGTTAATGGTATGATATGGTCAAATAAAGGATGGACTAGCAAAAGCCTGAAATTATGTAGCAGAATTGGTTATGCTAAAGGATGAATCACATTTCCTGAAAAAGTGTCCTGACTTAGAGCTGTATGCCCACTACCCCTGCCTCTAAACTCAGGAGTGTGTAAAGAGATGGAGCTTAGAAAATAGGAGACTACATTTTATAGAATAGCATTCTGAACAATCCACATGTTATTCATATACCTATGGACTCCTGGTGTGGCACTGTAGGATCAGCACCGGACTGTGAACCACAAGTTTGGTTGTTCAAACCCACCAGTCGCTCCTAGAAACCTTATACAGGGTCGCTATGAGCCGGAACCGACTCGATAGCAATTAACAACCATAACAACAAAATGACTGATCCCTGTGAGGGGTGACGCACATAAGCCATGTTGAGCTTGAACTGCCGACCTTGCATTTCAAACAACTTTGTAGTCCAGCACATTAACCCACAGCACCACACCAGGACTACATAAGTCACTGCCAGGGCCTCTATCTAGGACAGAAGTAAGCATACCTTTTCTGTAAAGAGCCAGAGAATAGATAATCTAGGCTTTGAGGGCCTCCTCCATCTTTGTGTCCCATCTTCTTCCTTTACAACCTTTTAAAAAGTGTACAAACAGGCTACTGGCCATAGGCCCATAGGTGTGAGCCATAGTTTGTAGACCTCTAGTTTAAGAGGCATCTATAAAATTAACTCTACTCTGTGCTTCTACCTGGAAAATTCAACTTCAACTTCAACTCTATGAGGCCAACAAGACTTAGTGTTAACAAGAAAAACATAAAATTCAAAGTACTCCCAACCCCAGCCTTTCAACCAGGTTTTCTGTTGTCACAGTTACAAATGCTGGTTAATGTCTGCTAGATAGAGTCTTCCTGGAAAAAGCGGAAATCCTCATACCTAACAGGAAGTCAGTGTTAGTATCGAGGGTACAGCTAAGCTTTGGGGACTGAAGTGTTACTCAAGGAAGGTAAGTTATATAAAAGAACAATGTGGACCCAGAAACACAAATCCATTTCTTTCCTGTTTCCCTTTACTGTTAAGGCCACTTACTCTCATGAAGAGAAGCTTCAAAGAAGCTGACTGAATGGAGGTCAGCTCAGGATTCAGTGAGGGGTGAGTTTCAGCTTAGTAAAATAATAACCAAGTTCCTATTTAGGCTGAGGTGAGGTTTAGGGGACAGGATTAGGTTCTCCCTTTTGTCTATGGGATGTTGATTATTTTCTTTTTTCCACTCTAGGGGGCAGCATTTCACTGGTTTGCTGGATTCTCAAGCTCTCAAAACAGATGATTTGGGTTCCTCCTTTGTTGCCATGGCAGCAGCTGAAGGCCTTTGTGACTCACAGTTCATTCTGTTAGGAACATCTCTTTCTCCCCCCTCCCACCCCTGCAGCATATTGGTGCAGTCCTTAGATGCCAAGGTCCTTTATGCCAATCTGGGGTTTATGTTTTTTTCTGTCTGTCTCACTTTCTCACATATGTATATACCCACATCCATATTCACAACCTGGTTTCTCAAGGAAATATTTCTGCTTTAAAATCACTAATGAATTAATATTGCTATGGAACTTACTTCTAGCTACATTGTCTCAGATCAGTACCTTCATTAATTTAGATTATTTCAACTGAAATTAAGACTAAGCTTGAATGGTATTTTTCTCTTTCCAGCCACTTGTAAAAGCAGATTTGAAAGATCTGGGATCTACTAGAGATCCTTTAGATCCAACTATCTGAGTTCTATCTAGATGAATGGGATTAAAGAAAAGTACTGATATCAAGAGCTAATAAATAAATGCCTTATTCATACCAGAACTTAGGGCTATGAAGGAGGGAAAAGCAATCTCCATTAGTGTAGAATTTCTCAACCTTGTTACTATTGACATTTTGGGCCAGTTAATTCTTCTTTGGGGCAGGATTTGTCTGTGGAGTGAATTATAGTATGTTTATTAGCATCCCTGGCTTCTACCCACTAGATACCAGTAGTATACCAGTTGCGACAACCAAAAATGTTCATTAAAATTGCCAAATGTCCCCTGAGGGACAATACTGCCCTCTGCTTTAGACTAAGTTTGCCAAGCCCATTGTTAGTGCTTCCATAAGCCCATGTAAATCTTCCAATTATTGCATTTCCCAGTATCTTCTGATGTGGGCACATGTCAAATAGCCCAAGTATGTACTCTGCTCTGACATTTACTACAACCTTTAACAATCTTGCCAACTCTAAAAGTATGTTTTTCTTTTTAAAAAGCAAACAAACAAATCTAAGTAGTATAGCATGTGTACACCTCGTTGAACTGGTATTTCTTCTTTAGACTCTACATGTTGGAGTGCTGCAAATAGAGATTCCTCCACTGAACAAGGGGCTATAGTGGGTATCCCCTAGATGGTTAATGAGGTCTCCAGATAAGCAGCAAAAGGACACACTTGGAGGTAAGCAAAACCATTTGAAGTGATGTGCAAAGATTTGGCAACATACAGGTGCTCCAAGAATCCCAGGGTAGCCATCAGAGCCTGGAAATCCAATGGCTCCTTGAGTTCCGTTATAGCCATCAAGACCAGGTGGGCCTCTGGGCCCTGGCTGTCCAGGGTGACCCTGTTCATAAAGAAAAGAAAGGATCAAGTCAGCACAGGACTATCAGTTCCTGCAACGAGACAAGCCAAGTATGCTGTCAAATTCCAACTCTTCGTTCACACCCTTAGCACCCCCCAAATATACCCTTATCATTGCTTTACATTCTGGTATATAGGGCTGATGAGCCCTCAGTGTTACCCCTCCCAAAAGGATCAATAGTGTAACAGGATGCAAAGCGAAACCTAAGGGATAAAGCCTGAGCAGATGGAATATTCAGAGCGCTGCAACTTCACCTGTCCTGGGTACAACAATGTACTAGGATGGGGCTTAGCTGTTTGTCAGCTAAGCTGCTACCGATAGGGAGTCATGTCAGGCTTGGGATTTCTTGGACCAAAGTGGAAACTGGGCAGCCTAGCATGGCTTTCTGTATTGGAAAGCTGCTCAGTAAAAAAATAAGCAAGTCTTAGAATAACTACACTTCCAATCTGATTTTGTCAGGATCACATGTCAGGCGATTGCTTTGGTTAGGGAACTCTTATCTGTTTGCCTTCTCCATTTGTTGTTAGGTACCATCTAGTTTGTTCCAACTCATAGTGACCTTATTCATAACAGAATGAAACACCGCCTAGACTCGTGCCATTCTCACAATTGCTACATTTGAGGTAATTATTTTTGCACTTTGTCAATCCATTTCATTGGGAGTCTTCCTAGTTTTCATTGACCCTCTATTTTATGAAGCATGATGTCCTTCTCCAGGGACTGCTCCCTTCTGATAACATGTCCAAAGTATGAGAGATGAAGTCTGGCCATCCTGGCTTCTAAGTCACACTCTGGCTGTATCTCTTCCAAGGCAGATTTGTTTGTTCTTCCGGCAGTCCCTGGTACTTTTAATATTCTCTCCAACACCACAGCTCAAATGCAGCCCCCTTCTCCATACTCACTACCAAAGGCAGTTGTTTAACTGAGGAATTAGTAGTAGTTCTATATAGTTGGTTTGAGTTCAATAGTTTTCCAGGGTCAGGCTTCCTTGATCCATTGTTGTTGTTAAGTGCCATCCAAGTTGGTTCTAACTCATAGAAACTCTGTATACGGTTTCTGAGAAGTGGCTGGTGAATTTGAACCACCAACATTGTGGTTAGCAGTCCATTGCTTATCCTACAGTGCCACACCAGGACTCCTTGGTGCATAGAATCTCCTCTTTTTGTTTATTGCAACACCTATGTTTTGATCTATCAAGGGTGGGTTGTGTACAAAGAGATAACTTGAAAGACGAGAAACCTCAACTGTCAAATAAGAGGTAGACACCTCTCCCTTTTCTATGTTTAATGATTTGGAGGAAACATGTCCTGAGTGTTCCAAAATTAACTTTGCAAATCACCAGAGCAAACAACCATTTGTCAGATACTTATTAAGAAAATGCTCCATAGAATTCTGTTTCATTTTCATTGTTATAGCTGTAGGAGGTAAATAGACTGTTAATATAAAAGTGTGAGTCTAGGCTGCTTGCTATGGGTTAACTAGGGGTTATTTCTCAGCAGGCTAACAGGGATAAGTTAAGGCAAGACAGCAAGCTGGCTCAGTACCAAGAATCTTCCTTACGCCTAGGACTTGGTTCTATTTGATACTAAAAACTGGGTTTCATACCCCATGGTTTCTACAGATTCTACTTGAGTATGATCCTTCTCTAGTTTTCTTGCCACCTGCTCCATCTTTTGTACCTTAACTAATTTTCTAGAATTAACCGTTGACTTCTGACTTCTGTCCTTTCCTTCAAACACCATGAGATAGTGGGTAAGTCAGGCTTTGAGCTAGTTGGTTTGGTGTTCCATTCCTAGTTATGCACTCCCCAGCTGGAGTCTCAATTTCCACATCTGAAGGAGCTCTGGTAGCGTAGCGGTTACTAGGTCAGCAGTTTGAAACTACCAGTGGTTCCATGGGAGAAAGATGAGGCGTTCTGCTCCCGTAAAGATTTACAGCCTCAGAAACCCTGTGCAGGGTCACTATGAGTCAGAACTGACTCCACGGTACTTACCAACAACATACTGAGATGATTAATACCGACCTCATAGGGTTGTTGTCAACACAAAAAATGAATAAGGCCTATTTCATTGGGTTATTGTTAAAATAAAATGTGATTAGATTTATTAAATGGTTAAGTCTTCTTCTCTCAGACAAGTCAGTAAGGAGAAGCCACAGGGCAAGCTCTACCTCTTCTCAACTCTCAGTACCCCAGCAGTTCTGCCCCCTATTTCCTTTTCTTGTCATGGCTAATGATTTCAAATATGTATGTGCCAGCTCTCTAAAAGAGCGTAACTCTTTGTGGGCGGAAACCATGGTTCTGTATAGCCACAAGGGACTGAGCACACAGACTAGGAAGGTCTGCTGTAGTCCAGAAAAGCAATGTTCCTCAGAAGCCAGATGTCGAAGGAAACATTTCCATTTGGCATGTGGTACATGTTCACTTTGAGGATATCAATCTGGTATGTTTGTTTACAAATCTCAAGGCAGGGAAATATTTGAGACTGACTCCATGGGAAAAGTTAAACACAAAATGTAAAGGACAACTTGAAAACCTCTGTTCCCAATTTATTTGAACTGAGAAATGGTTGATAAACATACATTTCCTAAGGATGCCAATGGCTGCAACTCACAGCTGTCCTGAAAAGCCCCAATCCTACCATTCCTGGTCTGTGTTGTTCTAACGTGGACTATCTTGATGAATGAATGCTTGTTTGCTCATTCTCCAAGTGATGGGTGTACCCACTAATGCAGCCTTAGATTATTATGAAATGACTATTTGCCCATTCATGTTGTAACTGTCTACATGACAGCAAAACAATGATGTTTGGGAACCAGAACAAGTGACACATATGTTAATGATTAGCCAGTATTAAGAGAGGAATCAGATCGGTGCAGTGATCCAGCTTAGTAAGGTGTATTGGGAAAACGGTTGGTTTCAGCCAGCTTGCTGAACAAGTGGTGCTGAAAGTTGAACAAAATAATTCATTTGATTGGGTCTATGGTGTCTGTGTTTTCTTCTGTTTGAGGAATTCTTGCCAGTCTGAAAACTGTTGCTTTGTAGGCACTGTTGTTGGTGTTGTTAAGTGCTGCTGCGTTGGTTTCGACTCATAGCAATCATGTATAGGGTTTCCGAGGAGCAGCTGGTGAGTTTGAATTGCAGACCTTGCAGTTCAAACCGGCCTTGCAGTCTAGCACATTAACCCACAGCGTCACACCAGGATTGTTGTTGTTGTTGTTGTTCAGTGCCTTCAAGTCAGTTCCAACTCATAGCGACCCTGTATAGGGTTTCCAAGGAGCAGCTGGTGAGCTTGAGCCTTCATCCTTGTGGTTCAAACCGACCTTGCAGTCCAGCACATTAACCCACAGCACCACACCAGGACTCCACATTAGGATTAAACTCCCAAATATTTTTAGAGCTCTTTACACCGTGGGTAAAGGAGCTGGACTGCAAAGTTGGTTTGGACCACAAGGTCAGTGGTTCAAACTCACCAGCCACTCCTCAGAAACCCTATCTAGGGTCACTATGGGTTGGAACCAACTCGGTGCACTTAACAACAACAACTATATGCTGGAAGGCAATGGTGGTTCCGTGGTAGAATTCTCACCTTCCATGTGGGAGACTTGTATTTGATTCCCAGTCAATGAAACTACCTCAAGCATAGCCACCGCTGGTCTGTTAGTAGGTGCTTGTATGTTGCTATGATGCTGCACAGGCCTAAGTAGAGCTTCCAGATTAAGACAGACTAGGAGAAAGGTCTGGCAACCTACTTCCCAAAACCAACCAATGAAAACCGTATGGATCACAATGGTCTGATCCTGTTGTGCATGGGGTCGCCATGAGCTGAGAGCCAATTTGATGACAGTGTTGCGTAGTGGACTGTGAGTTGGCCTACTAACTGTAAGGACAGCAGTTCGAATCTACCAGCTGCTCCGTGGGAGAAAGATGAGGCTTTCTGTTCCTGTAAAGATTTACAACCACCACCACCACCATCACCACCACGTCCACCAAAGGTCAGTTTGAACCACAAGGTCGGCAGTTCAAACTCACCAGCCACTCCTCGGAAACCCTATACAGGGTCGCTAGGAGTCTGAATCAACTCAATGGCACTTAACAACAACAACTCTATGTCAAGTTCAATTCTAGAGGTTTTAGAACCTCTGAGAGGAGGAGATATAACCTGTGCTTTCACGGAGCTAGTATTCTGGTTGGAGAGAAAAGACTATCGCACAAGACAATCAATAAATACTATGCAATGTGGAGCTAGACAGTGGGATACAGACAGTGAAGGCTCCTGGGATATTAGAGATAGTAGCGAGAAGTCGGCATTGAGCAGAAAGTGCTCAATAAATATGTCTTGAATAGCTGGAAGAGAAGGAAGGAGAGAGGAAGAGAGATTCTACCGAGTAAGTCTGAACGATAGAGCAAAAAAATTAAAAGAAAAACACATACAGTCTTGGGTCAAAGGATGGAACAAGGCAGTGAGGAGTTCTACAGGGAGCAGAAAGCTTATTTGGAGCAGTTTGAGCAGCTGCAACGCATTGTTCCAGGCCTTAATGTCCCAAAGAAAAGTGATCCATTCCTGCAAGCTCTAGGACTTTTTTGGCCAAAAGTTGGAGGCAGAAGTGTCCAGCTGGAATCTGGGGTGAGTTCCAGTTCCGAATTAGAAACCACCTCTGCCTGACAGGATTCACTTCCCTCCAACATCCATTAAAAAGAGACTGCAGGAAGAAGGGCACATTCCCACTGACGCTCCAGCAAGGCCAGGTCCACGGGATGAACTGAGGAGGCTGCCACCAGTTCGAGAACTTTCCTCACCCACTGGCTCCCAGAAAATAGCCACTCTTAAGTGGAAACTCTGGCTACAATGGCCAAAGGAATACAGCCAGGAGACAGTGCCAAGGGCACCAAAAGAGGACAGCTCACTTCATCCATGTATGTCTCCTTTGGCTCATTTCTAGGCATTTCTAAGACTCTGCCGGTGAATAAATCTGGCAGTGGATTGTTGATACATGTAACAAATATAAGGCAAGTGAGCCTTCTAGTCTCTAAATCCACAAATATCCACTACATCTGGGACGACAATAGATCAAATGATAATATCTTTGAGGGAGAGCTATATGCTTCCTCTGTAACTCCCATAGTAGATTACTAGCACATATCGGGAGTTTAAGAAATACCTACAGGTTGGCACAAGATTTGAACCTCTTCTCTCATACTAGATGAGAAATCTGTTGTTGTTAAGTGTTGTTCAGTCAGCTCCGGCTCATAACAACCCTGTATAGGGTCTCTGATCTTGCAGTTAGCAATCTAGTGCTTACCCTATAGCACCATCCCAGGACTGCAGAAGAGAAGTCTAGGGCTTACTAAATTATACGTTGATAGGGCTCAGAAGAACCCGTCAGAAGTTATAAGAAGGATGAGAGCAGGCTCTAGGACCACACCTGAAACAGAGGTGCTCTACTTGCAACTCAATGTTATGTAACAAGCTTCTGCTCTTCTAAACAAGGTGTGAAAACCACTCCAAGAGACAAACACAGTGCAGGTTAAGGATATAATACAAAGAAGTGGGAAAGGACATAAAAAGTGATAGTCAGCAAGTTTCAAATAGTCTATTTCAAAGGTTGGCAAGATGGTACCATGGAATCTCCGGCATTGGAGAAGTAGTGATATAGGAAGGAAATGAAGAAACTAAGGGATATAGGATGGAAATGAAGCGATATAGGATGGAAATGAAGAAACTAAGGGATTGGGCTGGATGGAATGGGAAAAGGAAATATTGGCTGCTATCTTTGGAGTAGTCACTTTTTGAACACTAAAGGCAAATTCACTCTGAAATGAGATGGGGCTGAAGAGAAAATATTATGAAAGAAATGTGCCAAGATGTCACTAATGGCTGTTTGGATGGTACAATTAAAAGTATTTTTCCTTCCTTATAATTTCTTGTACCTTCTTATTTCCCTATAATGGGCATGTAATCATTGTCAAGTAGAATAAAATGTTATTTTAATTTTTAGAAAAGAAAATAAAACATCAGGGCAAAAGAGCAGGAGCTAGGCTGGAAGCAGCAGAACATGTTTGCTTTTGACGGAGTCTGTAGCCTACTGCTGTCTAGCATGGCTCATCCTCTGGGAGCCAACATGTGCTCAGCCCTGTACACCATCCAGCAGACAAAGAAGAATGTGGCTCCTCTCTTTAAAGTTCTTACCATCTAATTTGGAATCCCGTGAAATGACCACAGATGCTTTACCCTCTTGTATCATCAGTGCATGGTACAGTGTGGGACACACTGTTGAAGGAGTGGATGAGTGAAACATGAGAAAATGCCTAGAATATGACAGAATAGACATTCGGTTCTACCTTGCATGCCACAGAATGGTCTACGTATAAGAATTTGCGTACATATATCAAACAGGATTTGGCTGGCACCTAACAGGAGAAAGCAAAGTCTTAGAGGTCTTTCATCACTTTGCCATTTTCCATCTGTGAGCATTCCCCTTTCTAGTAATGACCCAGGATCTAATGTGACATTACCTTCAAAACCAGACCTTCATCAGCCTCAACCAAAACTCTCTTCAACCCACAAGACCTAATTATTTTGGCTAAGATATTGATGGTTTTCTATGGTTACACATGTCCCTTCAGCCCCAAACCACTGCTCTTCAAATGTCACCATGCATATCACGTGACCCCAAGCATTCTTGCATGAGGCATGCTGTTTGTTGCTAAGGTCAAAGTTTTTGAGCTAGGAGGAAGAGCCTAAAAGATATTAAAAAGGCCTCTGTGGATGCACTCACTGGAATCCCATTGATGCCAAGAAAGCCAGGAACTCCCATAGGTCCCTAAAGAAAGAGATAGGGAAAGGAATATAAGAAACACTGCAATTAATCACCATTAGATCCAGTGTGTGTGTTCCTGTGATTTAATGACTTAAGTTGTTAAAAAAGTGCTTTATACCCTCTTTCCCACATGGCCTTGTGTTATTCCCTCCTCCAGTTCCAAGTGATCCCATACCCTATGGCCTTGGATATGTGTGTGTTCTGAGACCAGTTCTTAAGCAGGAAACATAAAGACCTGCTAAACTCAGCCAGCCAGCCACCACAATATTATCTTCCTCCCTGCTGATAGCTTCTAAACATTTTGATCCCTTGTTTCCCAGTCTCCCTGCTTGTATTCTTGATCTTTACTGCCCAGCTGATGGGACTTCTAACCCATGCCTGGCTTAAACCCAAATGACTTCCCACCACTGTGAGCTCACTTACATTTACTTTATGGCTTGTCTGCCATGGGATTGGCTCCTTGGATGGGCAAAAATTACCAATGCATCACCCAGCCCATTTCTTACACAAGTATGTAGCCTGGTACCAAGGTAGTCAGTAATGGGATTATTTCCATAAATGAGCAGAACTGAAATTTAGTACCTTTTACCTTAATATGTATATCAAAGGAAAATTAAGCTTTGGTGCTCTTACCTTGTCTCCTTTTGGTCCATAGGTTCCCAGAGAGCCTGGGGAGCCCCTTTCTCCTTTCAACCCTGATAAACCAATAGGACCAGCAGATCCTTGAGGACCAGTGGGACCTTGAATTCCAATTGGTCCCGGTCGCCCCTGAAACGGACAAAAGGAGTGCAGGTAGTCAACAGTAGGCTTTGCATCAACATTTCCCATTTTCCCAGACACAAAGAACACGGTCATCACTTCACCAAATAATTTTGGCTTAGATATCTGTGAGGCATGCCAAAGTTCCAGACGTGGATCAGAAAAGGTTATCTTAGGGGCTGCTAAGCTTATTTGGATAGAGCACATTTTATAAGCACATTTAATAAGGTTCATGCGCACCAAGATCCTTCAACTTGTACTTAGTTATTCAGACTCGATGATGTTGTCCTCTTCCTAGTTAATGCCAGGCCATCCATCAGATTGTCAAAACAGTGAACCAACAGAACACTGGAGAGCATCATGGCATTTTATAACTTGTGTCCAAATGGCCAATCACATGCTTATAGGAAAGCCTAGAAAAGGCTGTGCTGACAGAACACTGTCTTAGGGGTCCAGAGAAGGGAGACCCCAGAGACCCATGAGCTGACTCTTTGGTGGATTCCATCAGTGCACCTAGAAATGGATATTCACAGGGTGCGCGCACACACACACACACACACACATACACATATTGTTTATTTGCTCTCTTCTATCCTTTTTTTTTCCTTCCCTTTACCCCTCTCTCCACATCAGAACATTCTGAATGTGTAAAATACAAGGAGCCTGAGAGTATCCATTAAGTATCAATTATGATCCGGAGAGGAAGCAGCCTGAGATTTTGAATGCTCTGGTTGTAAAGTGTCAGGTAACAATTAAGTTTGAGAGTTCAGGCTGACATTTTAAAGCCGACTGAGACAGTGAATTAACCCCAGTGGGTGCAACAGAGTTGGACTAGTCTATCATTTAGAATAACTCCCTGTAGGGACTGAAATTTTCTTGCCAGAAAAATGAAAACCATTAGTAATGTGCATTACCTCTCAGAGACCACAACATTGTCTCAGATAAAAAGCCTATTTTCCATAAATGTTTCCATCTCTACCTCTCAGCCCCTTTCCTGATTGTCCCCAATCTCCTACAGTTCTGTGAAAAACTCTGAAGAAAGCCCATTAAACATGCCCTTTAATATTCAATAACCTTCAAGCCTTACTTTTTAAAAGGCCAAAAGCAGGATAAGCATTTTAGGTGGTAGCTAGAGTCACATTCTGAGGATACAAGTGACCACCAGCTGGGCTGGCCCTTTGAAGACCAATTTCAAGTGTCAGTTAAACCCACGAAGAACTAGGACTCTTACAAAGAAGTAAGGGACGCTCTGTTCAAGGAGATGTAATTCTCTTGGGCAACGCTCACCCCTCAACCTTTCTAAACACCCAACCTGCAGCCCAAAGATTGCAGGCTGCGAACGTTTTAACAGGACTTATTTCTGGGAAGGAGAAATGATGGGAGTTGGCAGCAAGCTTTAACTTTTGACTTGATGACTGCCCATTTTGTTTACAATGACTCTGTTATTATTCTTGCAGTTTTGCTAAAACTCAATCTACAGAAAGAAATTAATGGAAATAAAAAAGAAAACAAGACTTTTAAATAAATAGTGCTTGGGGGTGGTTGTAGAGGGTTCGTGAAAATGTCTTAAAATGTGGACCTAGCTGTCAAGACTTTTGAAATACAGAATGACAGCAAACTGTACAAGTCCGAAACAGACCGTAAGTCTATAGGAATACAAAGGAAGAATTGACCATGGAGGGTCTGTGGAATGCTCACTTTTTGCCCTTTGCTGGCAGAGGGGAGAAGGTGGGGAGTCATGAGCCCAACTGGAGATGAGGTTGAGAACAGGGGAATCGTGTTGGGAATGCAGCGTTTCAGGGCTGAAACTCATCAACAAGCATTCAGGAGAACATGTGTGTGTCAGTACGTGGTTAGGGCAGCCTGCCGGGGCCTGAAACAAGGGAGGCAAATCAGAAGCAGCTGTTGAGGAAGAGGAGCCTGCTCAGGGGGAAGATGAGGGCAAGGAGGAGGTGCCGAGGCCTTGTTACTACTAGAAGAGAGGATCCAGTCAGGCACTGAAATGTCTGACCCAAATGTGAGCCCTGCCAAAAGCTTTCCCACAGATACAGAGAGGGATAGAAAGCACCACAGACCATTTAGCCAGCTACTGAAAGAGCAGGCTGTGATGCGACCTACGTCCCATTCTGCCCACAACAGAAGAGGAGCCTGACCAGTGCCCAGGGGCTGGCACACCAGTTCTGGTCCCTGGCCTTTGGGAGTACATGCTGAGAAATGGTAAACAAGGAAACTAAGGAGTGAGGCAAGTCAAGGACTGAACTTAACAGAAAAGCTGATAACATTCAGAAAAGACAGGGATTCCATGGCCTACTTCCTTCCCCTCGGATGGTGTGTGTGTGAGGGGGGCACAGGAGAGTCGGCATGCTGAATTTGCCATGGCAAACTCTTGCATTCTGGTTATGGAGCTTAAAGTGAACCTCTTAAGAACTCTTGAAAAAAAAAAAAATCTAACTCTTTTCCCAAAGGGGCATTTGAAAACATGGGTGTCCTAACAAACACAATGTTCTATATTCTACTTTGGCACGTAGCAACTGGGATCTTAAGGAAAATCTCATGAGAAGCCTTCTAAGGGGCAACTATTGGTCTCTCCCTGTCTAGAGAAAAGAAGAGTAATGAGTACTCAAGACACTTGGAAATAATGAGTCCAGTGAACTAATGGACCAGGTGAATGAATCACAACTCTGAGACCAAAAGAACTAGATGATGCCTGGCTACCACTACCAACTTCTCTGAAAGGGATCACATTAGAAGGGCCTGGATAGAGCCCATAGTCTCAGAGGACACAATGGTCATTTGGCATGGCATAGTCCACAAACACAGCATTCTACATCCTACTTTAAGGAGTCAAGACTCCTTAAAGTAGGATGTAGAATGTGTGGCGCTGTGGGTTAATGCGTCAGACTGCAAAGTCGTTTGAACTGCAAGGTTGGTGGTTCAAGCTCACCAGCTACTCCTTGGAAACCCTATACAGGGTCACTATGGGTCGGAACTGACTCGATGGCACTTAACAACAACAACTTTGGTGAGTAGCTACTGGGATTGAACCACAAGGTCAGTGATATGAATCTGCCATTCCATGACAGAAGGATGAAGCTTGCTGCTCCCGTAAAGATATATTGCCTTAGAAACCCTATATAGGGTTGCTATGAGTTGGAACTGACTCAACAGCGCTTAACAACAACAACTACTAGGATCTTAAAAGCTCATGAGAAGCCATCTATTGTGCAACTATAAGTCTCTCCCTGTGTGGAGGAAAGAAGAGTGATAAGAATTGTCGATGCTGGGAATCAGTTAGCTCAGCGAATGACATGAACACCAGTCTCTATGACACTGAGACCAGAAGAACTAGATGGTGCCCAGCCACCACTACCAACCGCTCTGAGAGGGATCACATTAGAAGGTACCAGATTTTGTAGGAGAAAATGTAGAACAAAACTCAAGATTATTGAAACACAAAACAAAAACAACTGGGCTTATGAGTCAGGAAGAGACTGGAAGAACCTGAGATTATGGTCCTCAGTCACCTTTCAGGTCTGCAACTGAGCTCTCCCTTGTGGCTCAATTTTCAGCCAAGCAGTAGACAGGTATACAGGGGTGGGGAAGGGGTTTGTGGGGGACAAAAATACTAGTAAGGTATGCTCACCATGGACAGGTTAACCATTCAAGATCAACACGACAGCATTTACCTAAGGACAAAGTTCACAAGGGTTAGGAAGGAGGGTGGAATAGAAATACGAATCACAAGGAGGAAGTGGGATAACTGATGTTACATGGAGGAGATTGTAATCATTGAGAGGAAACAAAGTGTATGATTTGTTGAACGTAAAGCTGATGACCTGTTTTGTTAACCTTCCCTCAATTCACAATAAAAAGTAAAAACAAAACTAAACCAAACAAAAAACAGAAGGTCCTATAAAGGTAGACGTTTTGTAGTAAAAGGAGGGGAGTGATTGACTTTGCAGTCTAGTTGCGGAGGTCCCTGGGAACATCAAGGGAGAAGAGCGGAGTGTGGGACCCTACCCAGAGAAACCGTGATTCCAGAGATGGAGGCAGAGACGATGACGCGGAGAGATGGAGCGGCTGGGGACTTTAGACCCAGAGAGGGAGAGGGGCTGTGTGCTGACGACCAGGGTGGGCAGGCTTGCAGGGTATACACTTTGGTTGGTTGATGATGCATGGAGGGGATTGTAACCCTGGGAAAGGATAAATGTAAAGCTAATGTTCTCCCATGTAAACTATCACATAATTCACAATAAAACATTTTAAACAAAACAAAACAAAACAAAACAAAAATCCTCAGAAGGTCCTGAAAATGTGGAAGACATAGAACCTAAGACTATGGCCCTTGGTCACCCGTCAGGTTGGGAACGGAATTCATCCCCATGGCTCAAATTTCAGCCAAGCAATAGATGTAGGGGAGAGAACAACACTAGTGAGGTATGCACACCATAGAATGGTAGCCATTCAAGACCAAAAAGCGTGGAGAAAGGAGGAGGAATGGAACCAAGAAACAGAGAGGAAGTGGGCTAAGTGTTTATTACACTGACGAGACTGCAATCATTGCCATGAAGCCAAGTGCTAAATGTGAAACTGATGATCTGCTCTGTAAAGCTTTACTTACTACACAAAAAGTTTTTTTTTTTTTAAAGTGGGTGCCCCCTGGAGGAACCTGTAACTTCTAGAGGCTAGTGAGTCGGTAGTCATGCCAGCAGCCTGACTAGAAACCTCTGGGGCTGATCTGAAGGTCAGAAGCAGGGTGTATGGAATACGTCTCAAGGCCTTTTGAGGCACTGTTGGCCTAGAAATACCTCCTCAGCAAGGTTCCAGGCCCTTCTGGATCTCATAGTCATGGGCTAGGAGAGAAGGGTATGATGTCCTTTCATACAGTGGCACATACAAGAGCAAATGAAAATGACAAAGGAAAAAAGAAAGAGACCCATTGTGTGTGTGTGTGTTGTTTTGAAGGAGCCTTGGTGGCACAGTGGGTGAGGCATTGGACTGCTAACCAGAAGAGCAGCTGTTCAAACCCACCAACCGCTCTGCAGGAGAAAGTTCAAACTGTTCCTGTAAAGATTTACAGCCTCAAAACCCCTAGTTGGGGAGCAGGTTTGGGTTGTTTACTCTGTGCTTATAAATGTGTGATCTTTTTCCCCCTCTGGACTCCAGGCATAGGTTTCTGTCTCAGTGTCCAGTGTACTGCAGAAGCTTAATACTAATACATCTGCCTTTTTGTTTTTTTTCCTTTAAAGATGCTATTGGAGACACTTTTTATATCGGCCAGCAGAGGTCAGAATGAGAACACACAGGCTACAGATAAGCAGATGGATGGGTGGGCCTCACTGACCCCATAGAGAAAAAGAAATCAAACTGGTGTCATCGAAGTCATAGAATGTGTGAGCAGGAAGAGCTCTTAGAGATCACCCCGCCCAGGCTTTATTTTATACATGGATGTTTAAAAAGGGACTGAAAGAGGGGAAATAGCTATTGCGGAATGGTTGGGACTCAAACTAGGCAGCCTGATACCAGTGCCAGACTGTTTCTGTATGCCAGTGGCAGATGTCCTAGGGGGTCCTCAGGCAGCCATACCCGGACTCTGGGTCCGCCCCTGGGACTGCCCCCAGCAGCAGGCTGCGGTAGCCAGATGCTCACACATCATTTCACTCTCCCTAACCCTGATAATTTCTCAGAACCAATCTGGAAAACTAGCACAGTTTGGACTGCTAGCAGAATTTCAATGGACTTGGACCAAGGCCCTGCCCTGATACATGTCATTTATTTTGGCAACTAAACCCAGACAGGGCAGAAGAGACTCTTCTAACTCTCTCCAACAAGCTATCCTGCCTCCATCTGCAAGGGGTTTTAAATATGCACATCAGAGTCTAAATCTCAAGGGAATGAGCTGGGACTGGTGCCTAAGGCCAAGAACTGCTGGTTGGCAACTGTGACCCAAGCTGGCAGCCTCCTGCTGGCTCCAGTGGGTTGGGGCTAGTATGTAGTTTAAGGTCAACCTTGATCAGACCACACTCACAATTCCAGCCCTGCTTCAGATGAAAAAGGTAAAAATGGCCTGTATAGAAAACAGTTGTTGTTAAGTGCCGTTGAGTCTGTTCTGACCCATAGTGAGACTGGATAGGGTTTCCGAGGAGTGGCTAGTGAGTTTGAACCTCCAACTTTGAGGTTCGAACCGACCTTGTGGTTGAGTGCTTATTCTACAGCATCATACCCCTACAAAACCCAAGCCCATCTAGTCGGTTCCTACTCCTGGTGACCCTCTAGAACACACTAGGACTGCTCTGCATGGTTTCTGACACTGAAAATCTTGCAGCAGTCAGTTTCATTTTTCTCCTTTGGAGCAGCTATTGGATTTGAACTGACAACAGTGCAGTTAGCAGGCCAGAGCTTAACACACTGTGCCACCAGGGCACCTTCTAAAAAGCCGTATACATATGCAGAAAAGGTTATCTAAGAATATTAAAAGCATAAACTTCAGACTAGGTGGTGGTGGTTGTTAAGTGCTTTTGAGTCAGTTCGGACTCATATAGGGTTCTGAGGAGTGGACAGCCAACCTGGTGGTTAACAGTCCAATGTTTAGTGTATGAGCGCCACACCGGGACGTGAAACTGGTGGAAAGGTTGCCTTTTCATTACTGGACCCCTTTCTGTCTTTTCCTACCTTTCATCAAAGTTCCCATGTCTTTCTCCATAAAATTAAACTTATTTGTTCTTAAAGAAGACTGAAAC